TTATCGGAGGTATCGGAATTATTGTAATGAAATATTAAAAAAGTTAAAGCGTAGCTATCAAAGAAACGAGATAATAGAAGCTCGTTCTAATAATAAAAAACTTTGGAAAGTCATTAAAACCAATACCTCCATGGAAACACCAAGGGAATCCGCTTTGGAATTACTAAAATCCCAAAGCTTGCCACAACTTTCTGTTAATGCTTGTAATGAATACTTTGCAAGTGTTGGCAGTTCCCTGGCCGAGGTTATCGGATCTAAGGATTTGGGGTCGACCACTTCCTCTTCACATGGCACACAGGTCTCACAATCATTTGCCTTGCTAGCTACAGACGAAGACGAAGTATTAAAATTGATTACTGGTCTCAAAGCTAACTGTGCTGTGGGTTGGGACGGAATACCATCAAACTTCCTTAAAAGATATGCCGCTTTATTATCACCAATCATTGGCCATGTTTGCCAGTTAAGCCTTACATCCGGCTGTTTTCCCGACGTTTTTAAAAAAGCTATCATAACACCAATATTCAAGTCAGGGGATAGAGACCGTGTCTGTAACTATCGCCCAATCTCATTGCTTCCCTCGTTGTCCAAAATTCTCGAGCGAATCATGAACACTCGATTAATGAAATATTTAGAAAAATATAACATTCTGTCTCCACAGCAATTTGGTTTCAGAGCTAGTAAATCAACAGACGGTGCTGTTCATGAGCTAGTTAATTTTATCGTTCGCGGTTTGGACGATAAGAAGAAGTGTCTTTCCATCTTCTTAGACTGGCTAAGGCTAAGGCTAAGGCTTTTGACACGGTCTCGATCCCACTTTTACTCAAAAAGCTTGAGGGCGTCGGGGTAAGAGGAGTCGCACTTAAATTATTTCAATCATATCTTGCCAATCGTACACAACAAGTTAAAATTGGAAACTTCACCAGTGACGAACTCTCAATATCGTATGGAGTGCCCCAAGGAAGTATCCTAGGGCCATCTCTGTTTCTGGTGTTTATAAATGATTTGTGCCAAACTAAGTTACCAAATGGGATTGTGATACCTTTGCTGATGACACAACACTTTCGTTCCAAGCTGACTCTTGGCAGGAAGTTTTTCAATGTGGTCAATTAGGGCTCAACTCTATCCTAGGTTGGTTAAACTGTAATCTGTTAACTTTAAACGCACAAAAAACCAAATATATGGTATTTGGAATGCGCTCTAATTCGCTACCTACTATTGGCCACACACTCATCGCTCATGACTCTCCTGATAGTTGTAATCGTGGTGGATGCCGGTGCCCCGCTCTGCAATCCGTCCAAGAGTTCAAATATTTGGGTATAAATATTGACCAACATATTAATTTTGAACAGAAATATTAATTATGAACAGTAATGGACCTAAGACGCTACCTTGTGGAATTCCAGCATTAGTCGTTTTATATGTATTTATATAATTTTAATGAATATTAAAACTAATATTTGTCATCTTAGGACAATAGATAAAAGAGGATGTGAATAATGCCTCTTATCTTTTTTTAAGCAAGCAGTACAGGCAGGGCTGGGCAGTATTTGAATTACTTGTATTTGAAATACGTATTTAAAATACAAATATGTTTTTTTATATTTGTATTTCAATTACTCCCTAAAAATGTATTTTGTAATTAGTATTTCAAATACTTTCGTTGTAAAATACATTTCAACAAAATACTTTTTTTTTCATTGTACAGCCTATTATGTGACGTGCATAGATTTATACGTTATTGAACTCAATGGTGACGTGTGTGTATGTATGTGTGTGTAAAACGGAACGTTCGAAAAATGTAGTATGAAATTATTTGATTTTTAATTCGGGACTTAATCACGTATTATATAAAACATAATTTATTTACCTCGACGTTTCGGACATATTGCAACATGGTCTCGAAGGGACTGAAGAGGCGGGTGTCAGCATCTTCTAGCCGTGCGAGTTTTTCTAACTATCCGCACTTGATCTTTATTATTTACTTGTGCACTAGGGTTCTCACTAGACCGACACACAACACTCACGACATCTTAAATTTTTTTTTTTTTTTTTTTTTTATACATGACAGGTATAAAATACTCGTATCAATGCAGTAGACGCACATTAGTAGGTGGCAACAGTGCATGGTATTGTCAAAGACGTTAAAGTCATCTTTTCGTGGTTATAACTTAGCGTAGTAGGGTTATAGGGTTATACGGCATTGTGAATTTGTGTTTTTAGTGAACCATCTTTTCGCTCACGCGATACATGCAGCCGTGGACGCATGCTGCCACAGAGGGTTGCGCGATTCGTGCGTCTCTGGAAGCATAGCACACCTAGAGGTGCCGGTGATGATTTTATACCGATTTATCGGATATCGAAGTTATAGCAGGTAAAAAAACTAATATTAATTGCTATTTCGGTATAGGTATATGCTATGCATTTTATTGTTTAATTATTTGCTTCGTTTATAATTTAATCATATATCCAACTGGACAATTAGTACTTTTTACCTGAAATACAGGATTCTCCTAGTTCAGGTATATGTGTTATATTTCACATTTATTCTCATAATTAGTCTTTAGTTATTCATTTGTACAATAAGTTATTCAATAAACAATTTTATTTATTATTATTATCAATGTAGTCCGCTAATACTGCCCTTATAAGCTGAAAAGCGCTATCTTAATCGGAGTAAGTTTTGAGAAAATCGACTTTTTGTAACTTGCATTTTATGTAATTGTATTGTATTTAAAAATACTTCTTAGTGGTTTTTTAAATGTTTTAAGTTAGATAGCGCTGTTTATATTATACCATTAGATGCGAAATTATTATAGCTATTGAATGGTATAAAAAAAAAACTAAAAAGACGTATCTCAGAGATAGCGCCTTTCGGCTTAGCAGGGCAGAATAGTGGTTGTAATACATGTGTTCGTACCGAGTGGTGCTATTGTATTGCTTGTCTTGATTATTTACCTCACCTATCCTCACTTCATCCATCACCCTGCTTAGTATACCTACTACCGTCGAGCAAACAGTGCTTATGATCAAAGAACTTTCACACATTTTTCTCAGACAAAGCTGATGAATATTCGGCCTATTTAAGGTACTTAAATTAATTTCGTAAACGAAAATGTCGCCATCTGTTCAAATTCCGAATTTGTACAGTTCGTGATTTATTAGCAGTTAGTACAAAATTGTGTTTAGCATGTCACCATTACGCACGTTAAGATTGTGTTACTTTAGTACCTACCTATTATAATTACATATTGTAGTTACATTTTTCTTTACAACAAATATAATAATTTTATGATATACACATTTTATTATACATACACAAGCAGATACATACACAGCAAATACACAACACACACATACTGTGTGTAATTTATCCCCAGAGGGCGCCCCTTAGCAATACTTAAAATTTGTTTGCGGAGCGCCTAAGCATCAAACTGCTGGTTGCAACTTTAGTTGTGCGAGTTCGTGTATACAGCTGACGTTGTTTTTATTTGTTGTTTATTATGTTGTGACGAAGTTTTTATTACGAAATTAAAATATAATTATTAAGTGTTACTTTACAACTTACATATGTAATTGTACGCATAATTCATTAACTTTCGATTAACGTAAAAATCTAAGTGATGGTGTATATGTGTGCGATGTGAAATAAAAATGTGACGTCGTTGATACACTAGTGAAAAAGGAGTTAAGTCATTTTGAAAGCTGATTTTCAGGTATTTAAATCGTATTTCATATTGTGTTAGTGTCTGATAGGTAGGTTAGATAGCTTTTTACTACTGTTGTTAATATTTCCAGTAAAAAGGCACTAAATCCCACGATATTAATTATCAAAATACAAGGGAATTATCACAACGTCTTTGTGAAATGTCAAAATGATGTAATATTTTTCCATCGTATTTTTGTGTTATTTTTCGAGGAATAGTCATAAGTTCACCCTGAATATAAATGTTTATACTTTAAGGAGTAATTTCATGGTAAACGTTAGAACCACTCAAACGGAATATATTATCATATTTATCCAAGTAGGTACATAAAAAATTTCATTGGTGCTTTTTAAATGCAGGATTTGCGGTGTATAATGTATTATTGCAGTTTATTAGAGATTTTAGTTGGTAGTGCGGAGGGTATTTATTTAGCAATGTGGAATAATAATTTTTATTTATAAAAACTTGTATTTAAACTGAATGCTGTTCTCTAATTTGTGAAACCAGATAGCCGCCATTTTGCGGTTGGTTTAAGTTGCACATTTGCATCCTTTATAGGCCGAGTAGATAGATGGGAATAGCGTATCGCGTGAGCGGCTAATTTGTGTTGTGAACGTGTTATGAACGGCATTTACACGTATATACAGTATTCGTCATGTATGGGAATATTAATAATAATTAAACGTATTTCGTGCTGTGTAGTATGGTTGTATTAATTGGTGTAACGGTTTTTTTTCTGGTAAAACTGAATATTTAAAACTTCTTTTTCAAAATATGTATTGTGGAAGGAAAAAGCTTTGAAGGAAATTGTTGGTTTCCACATTTTTATTTATTTATTTATTTATTTATTTATATCACCACTTAACAATAACATTAACAGCACTTTTTTTTTACTAATTTTTTATTAACTTAACAGCACCAATAACATGTCACGACAGGTATAGTAATAAAATATTTTGTAATTTGTATTTGTATTTTGTATTTTAAATACACCCCATGAAAGTATTTTGTATTTCAAATACACCTCAAGAAAGTATTTAGTATTTTGTTGAAATACAAATTACAAAATACATCTTTAAATGGTTTTAAATACATTTAAAGATGTATTTTGTAATTTGTATTTCAATTAAGATGTAGCATGTATTTTGCCCAGCCCTGTACAGGTATATTTTTAATTCTCGCAATTACGAGCACTTGGCAGTTGGCTGTATGAGTTTTTATTTTGCCTGTAAACAGGCAGCAGCGGACTGTAATGGATTTTCTTATTATTTACCTTAATTAATTACTTTATAGGCCTTGACCTGGAAAAAGTCGCATGGTCCATAAATAACAAACTTTCCGTGTTAGTTTTTTTTTAAAGTAATGCAAATGTTTCCGAGCATGTTTGAGAAAACGTTAATTTTAGGCCATGAGAGAGACGAGAATTTAAAATAGATATTCGAAATAATAATAAGAAATATTTTGCATGTAGAGGCAAGAGCACGTAGTAGAGCTTGACACTTAAGGTTTAAATTCAACTCGATACAGTTTACGATGTTGTGCGCCCGGTGCTAAGCGACACACCTGTCCATAGCTGTTGCAGTGCCACTCAGACCTTTCACTCGCACTGCTACTACGCCCGTCACCCTGTGACATAAGTTGACTAGTTCCATGTAATTTCACCAGCACCATCTGAACCCTGAGTCGGTTTAAAGTTGCAACGGAACCCGAATGAGCCCAAATGCGAGTATCTTGTGATACCGGGAGAGGTTGCTAGAGATGACATTAAATTTGTATCGTCTGAACCTGAAATATTTAAATACGTTAAAACATATTTAAATATTTCCTCGGAAACCCCTAAAAGCAACCCAAATAAATGTATCAATATCTATCGAAAATGGATTCGGGTTCAGACGATACAAATTTAACGTCATCTCTCGAGGTGCAACTGAACCCGGGACTGGATGCGACTTAAATTTAATTATTTCTGACAAGCAACTTGTCCCGGGATCACACGATCCTCGCATTTGGGCTCATTTGGGTTCCGTTCCAAATTTAAACGGATCCCGGGTTCAGGTGCTACAAACCTACAAAAACGAGTCATAATTGAGTGTCAAGTTTGATGTGCACTTGACTGTGCGACGTAGTGCGTAACAACATTAGTGTTTTTAATTATAAAAGTGGCTCGCGTAGACGAGGGACAAAGTAAAATTTCTTATCCACATTGATTGGGTAGTTTATTGAATGAAATGGAATTTTTGATAATTGCGAAGGAAATTGAATGACTCGATAAATATCAAACATTAAGTTATTAGATCGTAAAATCTGTTTTATACATCCGATCGGACAATACATATCACAGCTTTAATCCTATGTTAAGCTTAATCGATGGATTTTCTTCGATATCTATTAAACGACAATCATTCATAGAATCCTTAGATTCAGATATATATGAGTTTGTTTGTCTAATACTTCTATTGCAAAAAATAATCCTTAATGCTCTGGCCACACAGAGCACAGAGCACGGAGCATCAAAGATATCTTATCTTATTTATATAAATTTCATGTATAAAAGCGTCCTCATTTTACGTTTGGATGACTATTGTCATTTTGACGATTGTGTGATTAGTATTATGCGTTTACTAGTGGTGGTTACTTTCGCTGCGCTGGTGACGGCAGCGTCAACAGCACAGGTGATGAACGAATATTTAGAGAGAAACGTTGCCGTCTCTGCAGTTCTTGCAAACGGTACGGTATAACTTTTTAATTTCGCATGTAGTCTGTTTTGAGCCACCTTGCTCTTTTAATCTTATTAAACTTTTAATCTTTTAATTATATTAAAAGAGTTGAGCTGGTGAAATTAGAGGCACATGGGACTTGTCAACTTATGTATCAGGGTGACGGGGGCAGTGGCAGTGCCCCTAGATCTTTGCGATTTAAAGATCTGAGAGTCACTTGATATTATTAAAAAAAACCTAAAATATTGTTATTATCGAAGCAAAGGTTTCCCCGGTTTGACTGGAGGACTTATGGAAAGACGTTTAATACACCAGTTTCAAAATTGCATGGTATTGTTTTTGATCAATCAAACATATTTATTCTTAGTGCCTTAATACTGAAAATGCAAAATGGCTCGGAATGTGTCCGGCAGATTATTTAAATTATTGTAGGTGTTGTGATAGTGAGGAATTAACACTTTGGTTTCAGGATGCACAATTAACATCAGAAGAGACCTCGATCAGCTGCAGCCGGTTTACATCAGAAATGGCAGGTATCTCAGCCCTCATGAGAATTCGGGGTTAATCCGTCTCAACACTAACGAGCAAGTCACTATCGCGTGTACGGGCTATAGGAATTATATTCGCCATCCTCAGGTCGCCGCTAACTTCCGAATTGGTGTAAGTAACTCAAGTCACGCTTCTAGGTTGAGATAAGACATTTATAATCCTATGAGCATTGCATGTTTTTGATGAGCAGTGCAGCTTTTAGCATTTGGCCCTCATTCAGTCCGTTATAATAAGACGTGATAACTGCGCGAGGGACAAGCGTCTTGACTACAAATTACCGGGGCAGATGAATGAATACAGCTAACCAGATTGCTTTAGCGAGTCCTAAAGTCTGGGGCTACCAGAGTCGCCTGTGAAGGCGTATCACTGGGAGACGGTTCTGCTCGAACGCCCGCTGTACCGTGTATCTTACCGGGGAGTCCGCAGTCTTCCCGGAAATTCCTATTGATTGGGTGGGTAGATAGCAGTGGCGAGGCGTCCATATAACTCGATTCCCACCTAAAATTTTCCACGTATCATCAAACATTAGAAATATTTTAAAGTAATTTACTACATTTTGTGCTCAATTTTACGTGTAGAATAATTAACCAGTGAAATAATGTGTATTAGTATCTTGTGTGCTAAGAAGTGTTGTGTTTAATTGTTGCCAAGGCACCACCTGTTAAGGCAAGTGTTTTGTTGTTTACTAGAGCTTTACTAAAGACAATTTTCACGCCTTTTCAACAATTATGCACGGTACTTAATTGTTGAAAAATGTTTAAACCCAACCACAAAAACCGTTTGAGAGATCTGTAACAAGCACAGGGAAATTCGCAAGACTTGTTGACTCATTCTGTAGCTCAGTTGGTGAGAGAGGTGTCGGTAGGGTAACAGACGTTGGATCGAGTCCATTCATATCGAAAGAGTTTTTCATTGTGTTGTTGGATACAATATCAACAAACTTGTAGAGTATTCTCATATATTTTTTATGAACATCATGATATTCTACGCCGAATGAAACATATAGGCTCATAAAGTACAAACGTCTGTTAATGAACATTAATAAAACTCTTATTGAATTTTACAGAATATACGGTGTGTGAGCGGCGTCCGGGTGAGATGGCAGAATAGCCAAATCGTCAGCGACTTTAAACATTTTACCTGTAATGTTCAACCTATTCCTGACACTCCAAACACGCCAAGATCATGCTGGAATAATCAAGCAAGACGTATTAAGTAAGATATACTTATTTCTAAAATTTTATTGAGATATTGAATTCTATTTTAATGTCACATTCGATAATATTGGTTCTCGTTATACTGGTGATGGATGTTAGATACTTTACCAAAAGTCTCAGCGCGATCATACTACTAACTAATATTTTATACTTCAGTAAATATTTAAAAAACTACAAGCTTAGAATAATAACGCATAGAATGATAGTTTCATATCAAACGAATTGTCACAAGTGAGGCAAAAATCAAATTCTTGTAGGCTAGTTTTAGTCGCAGGTTAATTTTCGGTTTTAGTGAATATTTATATAAAAATACAAGTTGAAACGCGTTACTTCCTTGTGGAATGTGATGTTAGTATCTATTTTATGTTTGTCTGACGTATTTTTACATTCATTTACCGCACATTTCGTCAGTTTTAGCTAAAATTCTTGAGCTGTTCGCGGTGCAAGTTGACCTTGAGCAATGACGGCCCGCCCGCCCGTGTAGGCCCTTTGGGAGCGTTTCAATTTGCCTCACTTAGCGTGTGCGGACTAGGTTTCTATGTGTTATTATTCTAAGACTACAAAAGTACATTATCTTAAATCGGTATCAATGAAAAGAAATAATTATAGTATTTTACGCAATAATACCGTGTTTAGGCCACGAGGCCTTGCCGAATACTGACTGGATACAATACTTTTTCTACGAGTGAATTAAAATAGTGAGACATAACTAATATTTAAAGATTATTTAACAAAATCGTTAATAAACGAACCACGAAAACAAATTCAAACAAAAGCCAAACAAACGCTACAAAACAAAAACCAAAGAGATAGAATACAAATGCCCGTGATTGGCCAAGTATCGCTTATAAACCAATCACGAGGCAGTAGAAGTTTGAGTGGCGTCATAATTGATATTTCATATTCGTCATATTTGGCTCTCGACAAAGCCTGGTGGCCAAACAGGGTGACTACTCGACTTCATGAACCCTCATTAATGAAATAAAGTACTATTACAAACAAACATCTAACGTGTAATATTTTCGAAGTAACGTTCCCAGTTAAAATTACCAGTTATTTTTACCGTCCGTGATACATACAATGTTTTTCATCACATTTGCGAGGAAATAAATACAATTAATATGGTTCACAACTTAGAATAATAACTCATAGAATGATAGTTTCATATCAAACGAACTGTCACAAGTGAGGCAAAAATCAAATCCATGTAGGCTAATTTTAGTAGTAGGTTAATTTTCGGTTTTAGTGAATATTTATATAAAAATACAAGTTGAAACGCGTTACTTCCTTGTGGAATGTGATGTTAGTATGTATTTTATGTTTGTCTGACGTATTTTTACACTCATTTACCGCACATTTCGTCATTTTTAGCTAAAATTCTTGATCTGTTCGCGGTGCAAGTTGACCTTGAGCACTGAAGGCCCGCCCGCTCGTGTAGGCCCTTTGGGCGTGCTTCAATTTGCCTCACTTAGCGTGTGCGGACTAGGTTTCTATGCGTTATTATTCTAAGGTTCACAACACAACAATTGTGGATTTTGCAAATGACGGGTCTTTAGTATTTAAAAAAAAAAATTGCATAGATAATACAATACAAACTAAAATGTTGCAAAAAGCAAACACGCACACAGCCATGATGGATTATAAACAAGAATTTACTAAATTTCTATACAGAAAATAATTAAAATCAAATTATTTAAATCGCGTATATTTGTTTTTCCAAACAAACCGACGTTTCGGGCCATTTACAGGTCCCATGGTCACTGGTGGAATAATTATTTAAGTAGCATGTGGGTGAATTGTAATAAAATAATTATTTAGGTTACGTTTTAAGCGAATGTTTAAATTTTGAACTTAAGTAACCTCCTTGCTTGTACCTGAACCTGACCTTTGTTAGGAAGTACCTCGTGCTACAAATTAATAAACTCCTTACCGGCCGTTGTTGTAATGGGAAGAAAAAAGGCCCGAGGGTTTAATTTGGGGCATATAGTCACGTTAACCACCATGCAATCATAGTATTTATGAGCAAGTGTGGTGAAAAATAAATTAATGTCACAACTCGCTAACACCTACATCGCGCTGCTCGACCAATTTACATGGACGTTAAGAGACTAAATTAGTATTGACTTAAAATATAAGTTAATCATCTTCAAACAACACTCCAATTGCCTATGGAATAAAGTTGAAATTACTTAAATTAATTAAATTTTTTACTGTATAATACGTAAGATGGCTATCAGAACCAAAAGGTTTGGGCATATTGGGGTGGTCAGGTATCTTGTGTAATAGAGTTTACAATTGCAGTGTGGGTTTCACCGTTCAAAACTTTATTGAACTATATTCGTCATGCTTCGATGACCGAAATTTGATAGCTTTATACGTAAGCTATCCACAGACTCGTGAAAACTATATATATCAACCAGGGGCCGGCCGACCTTATTTTCAGCGTAAGTACCAACTCCGAATAATATACCTTAAACACATAATTAAACACATGGTTATAATTATTAGTACAAAGATCGAACACTTAGTAAAAATTCCTTCGATCCGACCGGATTCGAACCGACGTCTTCTATCAATTTTTTTCTAGTGTTCAATCTTTGTATTAATAATTATAACAAACCAGTGGAGTCATTTCACAAAAAACAATTCAATACAAATTTAATAAATACATTGCTAATTAATTTCTTGTATGAATAAATCGATACCTCTAATGAGCACTACGCCAATTGTATATTTTGGTAATTTTCCCTAAATTTTGTAAACAGCCATATTTATTCACTAATATTATGCTCCCCGAATTTTGTGGAAAAAATAAAGAAATAAAAAACTAAATTCGAAAAAAAACAATAAAAACGAATTTGTGAAACAAAATAAATAAACAAAAATAAAAACAGAACGGGTTCAAAAATGAAGTTGGCGTAGCTGTAGTGTTCATTGGAGGTATCGAAATATCACTTCATAACACAACAATTACGGACTTTCCAAAGGGCGGCTTTTTTATAGTACATACTGGTGGAACGCAATTCTTCAATTAGTTGTAAAATGTAGTAAAAGGCAAAAACACATACAGCCATGACGTATTACATATAAAATAAATAATTTCATAATACTAAAAATACTGCGGATTTTGGATTTATTAAAATTATGTAGTAAAATGTAGTGAAATTGCAAATATTTAGTTTTTTCCTAAACGAAAAGTATGCAAAACACATTGAGGTTTTTCGAGCATAAAAACTTTTTTGCTTAATCTTGACCTGTAATTGTTTGTTGTAATATTGAATATTATTAATGGCCACATAGAGTATTTATTAACTCAGCAACGGAAACATGATTTTTCGCGCGTGCTCGCGATGGCTATTAATATCAAGATTTGAGATTAAAAAAGATGGCTTCATCTGATTCTTTCTGTTAACATACATTTAATAACAGTAATAATTTATCACACGGCAAACTTAACAGCACGGAATTTTCACTATCCATAACCATAGCCTGTACTCTCGTGAGCTCGCTATAGCAATTTTTGGTAGAAATAGGTTGATGAGATTGCAAATCTCGTCTCGCCTCGTTTCGTCTCGCCTTACAGGCGAAAAAGCACCTCTAAGACACATGATTCTATATCTATTCGCCACCAGCCCGCCGGATCCGGTAATGCGCTTTTCAGAATATATTCTGAATTGAAAAAGTTGTAATGTTTGTAAACAATTTGAATTTGACACTTAAGGCAGTCTCCGATTGGGGCGATGCCAGTCTTGTCAAATTTAATGCTACCAAAACGCAGGCGTGTCTGTTCTCCACAAAACGGAGTCCCTTTACTGACTGACTGACCTGACTTTCGTGACATATCCATACCGATAGCCGACCGTCTCCATCTACTTGGAATGGACCTGTCGTCCAGTCTAAACTTCGGCCGATACATTGAACACATGGCCAAAAACGCATGGCATCCTTTCCAAGGTGAGGCGTTACTTCACACCGGTACAGTTGCTTCAGCTGTACCAAGCACAAGTCCGGTCGTGTATGGAATACTGCTGTCACTTATGGGATGGCTCTGCTAAATATCAACTGGTGTCCTTGGATTCAATCGGCAAACCTGCTAAAAGGCTTATAGGTGACTCGGAATTAGTTGAGACGAAGCTGCAGAGCCTTGAACACCGCCGTAAAGTTGCCTGTTTATCGGTATTCTACAGGATTTGCATAATTTGATTCCGCTTTCCCCTCCGGGGAACTAGACGTGGGCTGGGATTCCACCCCTCTGTTGTGGATATTCCCAGGATTCACACGAAGCGTCTCGTTTCCACATTTATATGGCGAGCGGCTAGACAGTGGAAATCCCTGCCTGTGGATGTATCCTCCGCACGCTATAACTTGGACCTTTTTAAGGCGAGAGTGAATAGGCATTATTTAGGTGTGCATTCTCCATCGTCGATCTCTTCATCACTTTTCATCAGGTAAGATGGAGGTCAAATGCGCACAAATTTTTAATAAAAAAAAAAACAAAATAAATATAGTATCTTAACCCTGCATGTTTTCAGCTGGCACCTTCTTCCCTGTGGATATTAATAGACTTTATACTTATACGACCCATAAAAATACAATAGCTCGTATCACTGGCCAAAACACATACATTAATAATGTGTACAATATAACTCGTGGACATTTGGCTGCCAAGACTGATTTCGTCTTCGCTACGGGTCAAAGTTCCACATTCTGGTACATCAACGCTGCTCCTCAATGGAGCACTATTAACTCTGGTAACTGGGAAACGCTGGAAAAGGTAAATGCCATTTTTGCATAATACATGACATACCCAATGTCGGCTTTGCCTACGGTGCTGGGCATCGACATCAGAGCCTAATAGACGCTGTTTTAATTTCTTCAAACAAACAAATGTGTCAAAACGCTGAGGTGTGCGCCGCGTGGGAGCGGTAAAGACTGCTACTGTTTGGCCTGTTCAAGGTCGCGTTATGTCATAATCACAAATAGGGATGGGAATGGTTTTTACCAGTTTTTACTTGTAATAAATATGGGTAGTTACACTAAAAGGTACAACATAAGAAAACACCGAGTATATTTTACTTAAATTTTTTTCTTTCTAATTATGTTTATAATTAATTAATTTCCGCAGAATTGAATTCACAATGAAATTGGTGATAATTTATCTCTGGAAACAGTTGTTCACCAATAAAACTGCTTAGGATTTATTGACCAGAAAATCGGTTTTGCGTGGTTGACTTTTGTTTGGGTTTATTGAAATATGATTTTATGCACATTTGTAAAATATGCGCCCATGTACAATAAAAAAAAACACGTATTACAAATTATTTATTAGGCTCTGATGTCGATGGGTGCAGGATGTGCGGTGCACATGGGCGCAGGGTCTTAAGGTGGGATCCATTAGGTTCGGGCACTAACTCTGCTAAGTGCATCTGTTACAGCTCAAATGAAGATGTTACGCGCGTCACTACAAGAAAACCGTGTGCTCCATCGGTTCGCGCATCTGTAAAGTAAAGGCGCGTTCCCATCAGATCGTGACGACAGACAGTCGCGCAGTTTAAAGTATCGTGGCTTGTATAATTTCAATGTAGTTGTTCACACATAGAACAACACAATTAACTTTTTTGACGTTACAACGACAGACTGTCGTGACAATAGGAAGAGCTATAGTCTTTTCCAATCCAATGTGCCAGAAAAGTAAACAAACAGACAGTTTAGTGATGACCAACTGTACTGTAACTGGAATTTATACAATAAAACGGGTTTTGCGATTTCGCTGCTGATTACTATAAAAGCATATGTGATTCAATACTGAGTAATGATATTTTATACATGAGATTAGAAATTTTTTCTTTCATAACCTAAAAAAAATTTTAAATTAAATAATTTTAAATCCTCCTTCAAATCTTACACTTATATATTCGTTCGATTGTTATAAAATTTTCGATTCACTAATCGATTACAAAAACTTTAATTGAGTGAACCGAATGAGTTATTTCCGTACAGCCCTGTGCAACCATAGACTATTCACAAATCTATATTTGATTACTAACCTCACTTTTGAACTAACATTTTTGAAATAACATTTTAATACGTTATTCAAATGAATATTGCTGGAAAAAGTAAGTCAACTTAAAAATATACGTGAAAGTGTTACTTATTCCATTTATTGAGTGATTGCTTTAGAATTTTAATCAAACCGGTTTGTTTACCTTTTTGGCATAATGGATTGGAACAGACTTTAGAACGACAGTCGTCTAACGATAAATAAAACGACACGATAAAAACGTGCCGACAGATAATCGCAGCTTTAAATGATTCTGTCGTGCAAACGACAAGGCGACTGTCGTGAACCGATAAATTGTCGCCACGATTTAGCGGGAATAGCTAGACACGACAGTCGTTCAAGATAAAATAAACGTTACGACACTGAAATGCAAAAAATGGATTGTATATACAAATTTTGTAGACTAATTTCACATCGCGTTTCCTTCATATTAACATACTAGCTTTTACCTATTTTTAAAGTTATGCTTCCATATTAACACCCTTGATAATAAATTTAAAATAAATAGAAAGTTTTGCCATCTCTTGAATTCTCCGTATTTATAACAGTTTGAGAAGGTATGGTGTCGACTTGCACCAGAATTTTCTATCGCTGGAGCAAGTATAACCCTCTTACAGCTGCCTATTAGAGGGCGGCAGACTATTATTTACACCAGGACGCTACATGGGCAAGAGCTGGCGCTTATAGTACCTGTCTTATTGAAATTTAGAGATAATTGGAATTTGTAAAACACATTATTCACGAGGATTGTAACCTCATAAGAAATGTGTATTTTATTTCTTTTCGTTTCTTACGTATAAGAAAAAAGTATCGAATTACTGAGATGGTTACATTGTAAAATTTAAGTATGACGGCGCTTCGAAACACAAAAATCTCTCAATAAAGTATTTAAGTATTTTTTTTCTGCAGAACCTACGTGCTCGGATTGCAAATGCAGGGTACAACACTATGATATACACAGGCACTTTAGGTGTAACCACGCTCCGCCATATTGACAATACTCCTAAAAGGATCTATTTGGATGATTCTAATAGAGTTCCGGTGCCGGAGTACTTTTACAAGGTAAATAATAATACTAACTTAACTCAAAGTAGGGAATTCACTGTACTATGAGTCCCAAAGCAACGGAATTCACTCTGGGGCACTTCCTAGAACACCCAGACCAGAACCAGTTCCTCTAATCCCACTAGTTCAGTTGGCCAGTTCAGTTGACTGAAGTAATCAGTTTTATTTCTCTTTTGTTCAGTTGACTGAACTAGTGAGACACTTTTTCCCATTTGTTCAGTTGACTGAACTTAAATTGTGGTCCTTATTTCTTCATTTAACTATGTGCTTGATACCCTACCAGATTCGTAGTACCATCGTAGTGACCCACTGGTGACGCGAGGTTTGCTATTTGCTTGTCGTCCCACCGACACATGGGGCCATTATTCTGGACTCTGAACTAGTGAGAATAGAGGAAACAGTTTAGAAAACCTGAAACCCGGTAGTTGAACCCGATCCTATCATCCAGCGCCAAATGATATACTAATCACCAACATTCATTTAATTTGTATTCGTAGACGAAGGAAACACGTGTTTCGCGACAATTACATATTTAATTATATTAGAAGTTTAGAACATGAGGCTGTAACGAGAACTGAACCTGCTATTCAATTGTTTCGAAGGTTTATCTACGAGTGGCGGCTGAAAAGTACTATCTTTTGATTGTTTTGGATAAAAAATATATGTGGTGGCCACAATGACTTACAATTATATGGACGTCGGGTCCGCGCTAAAAAGTGTCCGAACTTGTAAGGCGTTAAAATCGTATACAGAGCGTCAAACTCCGCTTTAGTCTTCATTTGTTCGACTGACAGCGCGATACTGCGATGGCATTACAATTTAAATTCAACGTTTTAGCTTTTTCATATTCCTTTACATGTCACTACGTTTAAATAGGTTGACTTGGGACATTTTTTTCGTGGTTTTTGTATTAGACCCGTCGTCCATTTATTTGTAAGTCAATGGGTGGCCACTATCGTGAGTATTGGCTATTAATTCTTTTTTTTAAATTAGCGACACTCCTTTGTTTATTACTTTCGCTTTGCATGGACAACACGTGAAAAGAAAAAAACATAATGACCCTTTCTAACAATAATTGTAAATTTTTAATTGAAAAAAAAAAAATCGATCTGAAAAGTTTGCTTATCGGCTTTCTTCGATTTCCATGGGATCCCCTCATCAGATTCTGACTTCTTGGTGACAATGGGACGGATAAGCACTCTTTTGTACATTTTACATTTTCTTTTCTGGTTGTCATGGTGACGGCAATTTGTTAATTACACGTATTGTGTCAAGCGAAAATTCGACTTTTATTTGCGGAAAATAATAAGTAATTTGTGATAGCCGAATAGC